TGGGTGAAACACCACAGTGTGCCATCACAGCAGCAAGATTTGTGACCTGTTGCCACAAGAAAAGTGAAAAACAAACACCATTGTAAATACCCCTATATTTATGTTGATTTATTTTCCCATTTGTACATTGTTACAACACTGTATATAGACATATAGTGCCTTGCAAAAGTATTCATCCACCTTGGCATTTTTCCTATTTTGTTGCATTACAACCTGTAATTTAAATGGATTTTTATTTGGATTTCATGAAATGGACATACACAAAATAGTCCAAATTGGTGAAGTGAAATGAAAAAAATAACTTGTTTCAAAAAATTCTAAAAAAAGAAATAACAGAAAAGTGGTGCGTGCATATGTATTCACCCCCTTTGCTATGAAGCCCCTAAATAAGATCTGGTGCAACCAATTACCTTCAGAAGTCACATAATCAGTTAAATAAAGTCCACCTGTGTGGAATCTAAGTGTCACATGATCTGTCACATGATCTCAGTATATATACACCTGTTCTGAAAGGCCCCAGAGTCTGCAACACCACTAAGCAAGGGGCACCACCAAGCAAGTGGCACCATGAAGACCATGGAGCTCTCCAAACAGGTCAGGGACAAAGTTGTGGAGAACTACAGATCAGGGTTGGGTTCTAAAAAAATACCAGAAACGTTGAACATCCCACGGAGCACCATTAAATCCATTATTAAAAAATGGAAAGAATATGGCACCACAACAAACCTGCCAAAGAGAGGGCCGCCCACCAAAACTCACGGACCAGGCAAGGAGGGCATTAATCAGAGAGGCAACAAAGAGACCAAAAATAAACCTGAAGGAGCTGCAAAGCTCTACAGCGGAGATGGGAGTATCTGTCCATAGGACCACTTTCAGCCATACACTCCACAGAGCTGGGCTTTACGGAAGAGTGGCCAGAAAAAAGCCATTGCTTAAAGAAAAAAATAAGCAAACTCGTTTGTTGTTCGCCAAAAGGCATGTGGGAGACTCTCCAAACATATGGAAGAAGGTACTCTGGTCAGATGAGACTAAAATTGAGCTTTTTGGCCATCAAGGAACACGCTATGTCTGGCGCAAACCCAACACCTCTCATCACCCCGAGAACACCATCCCCACAGTGAAGCGTGGTGGTGGCAGCATCATGCTGTGGGGATATTTTTGATCGGCAGGGACTGGGGAACTGGTCAGAATTGAAGGAATGATGGATGGCGCTAAATACAGGGAAATTCTTGAGGGAAACCTGTTTCAGTCTTCCAGAGATTTGAGACTGGGACTGAGGTTCACCTTCCAGCAGGACAATAACCCTGAACATCCTGCTAAAGCAATATTCGAGTGGTTTAGATCACTGTAGAGCCCAAAGTTCAGCTCAACCAACCTCAGAGAGCTCCTTTGTCCCACCCCCCATACACGCAGAGACCGGCTCAATCAGTACCTCCAGTGATGCTATCTCTTTCATAGTTACCCAATGCTTAGGTGTACCTCCACTGTACTCATATCCTTCCATATCCTTGTCTGTACATAATGCCCTGAATCTATTCTACAATGCCCGGAAATCTGCCCCTTTTATTCTCTGTACCCAACACACTAGAAGACCAATTCTTAAAGCCTTTAGCCGTATCCTAATTATATTCCTCCTCTGTTCCTCTGGTGATGTAGAGGTTAACCCAGGCCCTGTAGCCCCCAGTATCACTCCTACCCCCCAGGCGATATCATTTGTTGACTTCTGTAACCGTAAAAGCCTTGGTTTCTTGCATGTTGACATCACAAGCCTCCTCCCCAAGTTTGAGTTATTCACTGCGTTAGCACACTCTGCCAACCCTGATGTTCTAGCAGTGTCTGAATCTTGGCTTAGGAAGGCCACCAAAAATTCAGAAATGTCCATCCCGAACTACAACATTTTCCATCTAGATAGAACTGCCAAAGGGGGCGGAGTTGCAATCTACTGTAGCTCTATCATACTATCCAGGTCTGTGCCCAAACAGTTTGAACTTCTACTTGTAAAAATCTGCCTTTCCAGAAATAAGTCTCTCACTGTTGCCGCTTGCTACAGACCCCCCTCAGCCCCCAGTTGTGCCCTGGACACCATATGTGAATTGCTTGCCCCCCATCTATCCTCTGAGTTCGTACTGATTGGTGACCTAAACTGGGATATGCTTAACACCCCGGCCGTCCTACAATCTAAACTAGATGCCCTCAATCTCAGACAACTTTTCAAGGAACCTACCAGGTACAACCCATAATCCGTAAACATGGGCACCCTCATAGATATCATCCTGACTAATTTACCCTCTAAATACACCTCCGCTGTCTTCAACCAGGATCTCAGCGATCACTGTCTCATTGCCTGCGTCCGTAATGGGTCCGCGGTCAAACGACCACCCCTCATCACTGTCAAATGCTCCCTAAAACACTTCAGCGAGCAAGCCTTTCTAATTGACCTGGCCCAGGTATCCTGGATGGATATTGACCTCATTCTGTCAGTAGAGGATGCCTGGATGTTCTTCAAAAGTGCTTTCCTCTCCATCTTAAATAAGCATGCCCCATTCAAAAAATGCAGAACTAAGAACAGATATAGCCCCTGGTTCACCCCAGACTTGACTGCCCTTGACCAGCACAAAAACATCCTGTGGCATACTGCATTAGCATCGAACAGCCCCCGCGATATGCAACTTTTCAGGGAAGTCAGGAACCAATATACACAATCAGTTAGGAAAGCAAAGGCTAGCTTTTTCAAACAGAAATGTGCATCCTGTAGCACTAACTCCAAAAAGTTTTGGGACACTGTAAAGTCCATGGAGAATAAGAGCACCTCCTCCCAGCTACCCACTGCACTGAGACTAGGAAACACTGTCACCACCGATAAATCTACAATAATCGAGAATTTCAATAAGCATTTTGCTACAGCTGGCCATACTTTCCACCTGGCTACCCCTACCCCGGCCACCAGCTCTGCACCCTCCGCTACAACTTGCCCATGCCCCACCCGCTTCTCCTTCACCCAAATTCAGATAGCTGATGTCCTGAAAGAGCTGCTAAATCTGGACCCCTACAAATCAGCTGGGCTAGACAATCTGGACCCTTTCTTTCTAAAATTAGCCGCCGAAATTGTCGCAACCCCTATTACTAGCCTGTTCAACCTCTCTTTCGTATCGTCTGAGATCCCCAGAGATTGGAAAGCTGCCGCGGTCATCCCCCTCTTCAAAGGGGGTGACACTCTAGATCCAAACTGTTACAGACCTATGTCCATCCTGCCCTGCCTTTCGAAAGTATTTGAAAGCCAAGTCAACAAACAGATCACCGACCATTTCGAATCCCACCGTACCTTCTCCGCTATGCAATCTGGTTTCCGAGCTGGTCATGAGTGCACCTCAGCCACGCTCAAGGTCCTAAACGATATAATAACCGCGATCGATAAAAGACAGTACTGTGCAGCTGTCTTCATCGACCTGGCCAAGGCTTTTGACTCTGTCAATCACTGCATTCTTATTGGCAGACTAAATAGCCTTGGTTTCTCAAATGACTGCCTCGCCAGGTTCACCAACTACTTCTCAGATAGAGTTCAATGTGTCAAATCGGGCCGACTCTATTCTCTGTGTATATCAATGATGTCACTCTTGCTGCTGGTGACTCTCAGATCCACCTCTACGCAGACGACACCATTTTGTATACATCTGGCCCTTCATAGGACACTGTGTTAACAAACCTCCAAACGAGCTTCAATGCCATACAACACTCCTTCCGTGGCCTCCAACTGCTCTGAAACGCTAGTAAAACTAAATGCATTCTCTTCAATCGAATGCTGCTTGCACCCACCCGCCCGACTAGAATCACTACTCTCGGCGGGTCTGACTTAGAATATGTGGACAACTACAAATACCTAGGTGTCTGGTTAGACCGTAAACTCTCCTTCCAGACTCACATTAAGCATCTCCAATCCAAAGTTAAATCTAGAATCGGCTTCCTATTTCGCAACAAAGCCTCCTTCACTCATGCTGCTAAACATGCCCTCGTAAAACTGACTATCCTACCAATCCTTGACTTCGGCGATGTCATTTACAAAATAGCTTCCAACACTCTACTCAGCAAATTGGACGTAGTCTATCACAGTGCCATCCGTTTTGTCACCAAAGCCCCATATACCACCCACCATTGTGACCTGTACGCTCTCGTTGGCTGGCCCTCACTACATATTCGTCGCCAAACACACTGGCTCCAGGTCGTCTATAAATCACTTCTAGGCAAATCCCCGCCTTATCTTAGATCATTGGTCACCATAGCAACACCCACCCGTAGTATGCGTTCCAGCAGGTATATATCACTGGTCATTCCCAACACCTCCTTTGGCCGCCATTCCTTCCAGTAGGAAAAATGCCAAGGGGGGTGAATACTTTCGCAAGCCACTGTAATATGACATTTGAAATGTCTTTATTCTTTTGGAACTTCTGAGTGTATTGTTTATTGTTAATATTTATTGTTATTTCACTTTTGTTTACTATCTACTTCACTTGCATTGGTAATGTTAACATACGTTTCCCATGCCAATAAAGCCCTTAATTTGAAATTGAAATTGAATTGAGAGGAGAGAGAGAGAGAGAGAGAGAGAGAGAGAGAGAGAGAGAGAGAGAGAGAGAGAGATGGCTTTCAAATAGGCCCATTTATGTTTTTTGGTTAAGCTATGTTAATGTATGCTGATATCTATTTGTTTTGTCTTGTATGGAAGGAAAGCTTCTTACCATCATCTTACCCAAAGCAAAGAGGTCCATCTTGGCCAAAGAAGACTAGACTGTAACATTGACTAAAATCATAATTCATTATTTCTAAGAACAGCCTCTGCAACGAATTTATTTGTCACATTGCTTGCACAGGATCCTTTCTACGAGTCGTGAGTGGATAAATCCTCTCTCAGTCTAGTTGAGTGACATCAGTTGTGTTACAGTCCACGCCCAGCAGCTGCCGATGCTATTTGAGTGAGACACGGCAGTTTCTTGTACATAGAGCTGGTTTAGCGTCGTCAATGGGAAGTGCACGCCAACGTGGAAAAGCGAATACTGTCTAGCTAACTTCCATTTACAACATGGGTTCTACGTCGATTCCGTGTTTGTGGATTACATTTAGCCTTCATCTATGTTGTTTTATGAACACTGGAAAAGCACAGAATGCGAAAGAAGGTATGTAATAAAGTTTGATAACCTCTCATCATCGCCTGATCCAGGCTACATCCCGAAAACTGATCCGCAATCGCGCGAAGTGACATCCAGAGAAATAGCAGGCAGTAGACTATCCTGCGATTCTGTTGTTTGCGCACGAATGATCATTCCTGTATTTGTAAAATATTTAAAAAATACAATATGTCATGACATTAGTTCAATTACATTACATTATTGTTAGTCAGTGGATAGAAGTCTGTGCCCATTCACACATCTTTTGTGTGACGAACAACCCGTAGTAGGCTATTTTAGTAGGCTTTTACGCATGGCATCAAATCCAAAATAAGGCTCCATACCGACGATGGTAAAGTTTTAGTTTTCAAGGCTAAGATAGTCTACATTTAGACTGTCATTCCACTCAGTCTCATATCATGACTTGTAATAAACTTCCAAGATCGATGAATAAGCTATTACTATCCCATTCACCATAAGTATGGTCCACATTAACCCTCCTTGTCATTACAGGAGTTCATGTTTGAAAGACCTGAAATTAGTCTATAAAAACTGACATGTACAGAGCGAGAGCGCACAAGGAAAGTCTATATCACAGACACGGAGAGATAGAAAGATCACGGTATACTGTTTATAGAAATAAACTAAAGGTTCATATTGCTAAAGAAATGGGCTTATTAATAAACAAATACAATTGGAAGGAGAGAAATAAGATTTATGTCTCGCCAAGTTGCTGACCTTCACTTTTTAGGTGATTCTTGTATTCGTAAACACACTGTATTGATTCTGAAATACAAACTATTTTCATGTCCGTCTGAAGTTTGACACAGGCTGTGCAAATTGTTTAAAGCATATGGGGCTATAATATATGGTCGTATGTCAGATCAATAGATTGAACTGATATTTAGCCTATAATAACCCTGTTATTAAACACACTCTCTCACGGCCCTGCGTTCTAGGAGAGAAATCGGCAGTACGCTCCGAGGCTCTATTCGGGTGAATGATTCAGCCATGAATACCACTTCTACCCGCTAATAATAATAATAATAATATATATATATATATATATATATATATATATATATTAGATAAGTGACACTTTTACACCAAATTCATGTCGCCGTTGGTAGACTACAGCCGAACAGTTTTTGGATTATATTTCTGTTGTTAGTGCGCTTGTCGCCCATGGCACAGCAAGGACTCGTGCATTGCTTTTTAATGTCCTAGATTTACGTATAGAGGCAGGTGTTCTTGTCTGACCCTATTGCACCAGCATGTGTGCCTCCATACTGAAAAGACACACACAGATAGGTTTGAATAATTTTGCCATTTAACTTCATGTTTATGTGGGTTGTAGGCTTCATGAAACCCAAAGTTGTCACAAAAAACACTTACTTTTTAGCTTAATGGAAGGGTAGCCTATATGGAATGGTCGCCTATATGAAGTGTTTATCCAGTAGTCTTCCATATAAAAGCAGTTCTCACTCAGTGCCATTGAGGTAAAAGGTGTTGCCATGAAATCAATGCCCTTCTGAACAGCCTGTAATTGTTAATTTTAATAGCTGGCTGCAGAAAATGGGTCATGTGTCTAGTCATCTAGCCCTCACACGCTGTATCAGGCTGTAGACTCTCGTAGCTTATTCATTTAATAATATTTATGGCGAACTGACTGTGGCACATGCAGAGATTTAATCACCTGCTCTACCCTTTTATTTCCTGCCGCTAGTGATTCTGTTGGATTCCAAGGCACAGCAGACAGAGCTGGAGTGGATATCTTCTCCTCCTGGTGGGGTAAGTGGGACACCTCTGAGGACATATACTACTCCAATTAACACTGTTATTTTCAGCGTTACCATGCTCTACCTTAATGGAGGTCTAACAAGGAAAATCTAGATTTAAATGTGAAATTTCAACACGGTCCAGTATTATTATGTCTGTCTGGCTGTCATTACCATGGATATGTGCCTCTGGGTCATTATCAGCTGAACTATCCAGAGGCAAGCTTTTTAAAATGGTCACAGTGTTGGACCGAGTTCGAGAAAGGCCATTTGGGTGGGATGTTTGTTTATGTTAATTGATGTTAATTGTAGCAGTCCTGAAAATCTATAGGAGGGGTGGCATTTAAGTTAAGAGATATTGATTTTGATTTTGATGTAGCCTAGGCCTCAAGTCACCTTTCCATAATAGCCTGTCCGTAAAGGTTTAAAAATCTTAATCTTAAATAAAAACGTAAAAAATACAATCTAGCAATGTGATTGGAAAGTCATGTTTGGAAGTAATCCTAATTGATCCATCATTTGTTTTTATGCTTATCAGGTTTACTTATATGCCCTGTTAGTTTCTGTTAGTATTATCTAACTTTAGACCTATCTCTGTTTTCTAATCTTTCTTTGGGCCTGATTTCAGAATAACAGTGCAGAAGTTTATGGATTTTGTTTAATAGTTGCATACTCATTTCCAAATAGTGTAAAAGCAAAATGGATGACACATTTTTTGAAAGTGCTCCAATAATGGAGGTCTATTCATACCCTATGTTTTTGTGATTTTTTTCTGCTAAACCACCATTATACAGTGTTATTACTAGTTTTTACACCTTTTACACGCCTTTATTAATATATTAAAACACTGTATTGAATCAACACTACAGTAGGACAGAAAACCAGCCAGTATTTACATTGTTGTGTTTTGATTTCATTGCAAAAGAATGTTGCTGTTGAGAACCAATCCATTTAAATGTACCAAACTTGTGCTCTGTTCTTTTCAGTGGGAAGAGATCAGCGGGTTGGATGAAAACTACACCCCTATTCGCACATACCAGGTTTGTCAGGTCATGGAACCCAATCAAAATAACTGGCTTCGGACTAGCTGGATAGAGAAGGGCGATGCCCAGAGGATTTTTGTGGAACTGAAGTTCACGTTGAGGGATTGTAACAGTCTACCCGGTGTGGTGGGCACGTGCAAGGAGACATTCAACTTGTATTACCAGGAAACCGATTCGGAGGTCGGCAGGAATATACGAGAGAACCAGTACGTGAAAATTGACACAATCGCAGCAGATGAGAGCTTTACCCAGGGGGACCTGGGAGAGAGGAAGATGAAGCTGAATACAGAAGTGCGCATCATTGGGCCGCTGTCCAGACGAGGGTTTTACCTGGCCTTCCAGGATGTAGGGGCATGCATCGCTCTGGTCTCTGTCAAAGTTTATTACAAGAAGTGCTGGTCCATCATTGAGAACCTGGCCACTTTCCCAGACACTGTTACGGGATCCGAATTCTCCTCTCTGGTTGAGGTCGAGGGCATGTGTGTCAGTGACGCCGAGGAGGAGGCCGATAATTCTCCCAAGATGCACTGCAGCGCAGAGGGGGAATGGCTGGTGCCTATAGGGAAATGTATATGCAAAGCTGGATTTCATCAGAAGGGCGATGCATGTGAACGTGAGTGCAGTTATATTCATCTTGCTCTATCCTCTCTATACACCGTTTTAATTGGCGGCATAACTTTTTCCATCCTCTGCTACACTCCAATTTTCAGTATTGAAAAATATTACTCAGCCCCAAACATTGTTTTAATTAGGGGAAATAGGAAACTTATTGGTAAGCAGAAAATGTGCCTCATTCAAATGTAAATGTTTAGAATAGTTTTCCCCTTTGATTCATCGTTTTGCACAGGATCACGCATGCCTAAACAACAGAAAGAATCTGTTGAGTATTTACGTTTTTAATTATACAAAGCAGGCAAAGGACAATTTGGGCCACGTTGAATAGTTGTGGTGGCAAAAAAAATTAAAGCAGCTGATTTGAGGGCAATATTAATGATGGATAAAGTATGGAGGCCTGGAAATCCTCTGTGTAATAATTGGAATCCATGTTAATTGTTTGATTAGCAGGCTCTTAATTTATAGCCATGGTTCTGTTGACACTGGGATTAAATGATAACTTGCACTTCAGTTTAGCTCAGTGCTCCTCGGTAAGAGCACTTCCCTCTCTGGCTGGCTGCTGGCCAAGGCAATCACTTGCAGAATACACAGGTCTGGAGGATGTCCAACCAATCTTTCAGTATCCCTCTGCCCCTTCCAAACAACCCTGACAGAGAGAAAACAAATAGCCGCCATACTGTGGCATTTAGGCCCCAAGATATTTATGAAGGGCCCTAACAGGAAACACAGTTACAGTCGCTGCGGATATGTATTTTGTGTTGTTTGGTCCTAGCACCATGCCTCGGCAGTTAGCATTAAAATGCTTTATGTCACTCTAATTACCTGACTTGTATGATACAAATCACTGTGGATTAAAGGGGAACTACTTAAATCACAGAGCTTAAGTGCTCTGTCTTGTCAGCCAAGCTTTTTTTTCTTCCACGGAATGGGCAGTGTCCATCTAAGCAGCTTATGAGGGATACTGACCAGTAATAATTAAAGGGAATGTGTCTCAGGACAAACTAGAAGTCCAGGCAGGCTGGCCACTTTCAGGCCAATACTACAACACATAGTTCTCCACCAGAGAATTAGGCCTATACCCTCTACCCTGTGAAGTGTACTTAGGCGATAATATCAAAAACAAACAAAAATTGCCTCGAGTTATGTTGCCCTAAAATGTGGTTAGAGGTTAGAGCTCGTTCAACACCCAGGGAGTTCTTTTTTTTTGCGGTCGTTTATGTTATTTTGGAGCAAACAATGCAGCATATATTACATAAAAGCTTTGTCTAAAAGGACCAGCTGAAGCCTGCTCTTCTGCTTGTAAAGCATTGTGCACAAGGCATGTTAGAACTGAACTGTTGCCCATTCCAGGCAATTAACTGATCCAACTACTGTACCAGCTAAAACTGTCCTTAGTGAGGTGGAAAACATACCCACCTGTGTATGAGTGATTAAAATCCTGTCTCAACGTGGTAACTTTATAAGAGATTTATTTCCATTGGGGCCATTGTATTAAGGGGTAGTTAATCTAAATAAAATGAACATCTTACTGCAGAATCAGCAGCTTCTCGCAGAGATCTGGTGATATTAAGTCGCCCATTTAGTGGTTTCCCCTAGAGCAAATCAAAGGGGAAAATCCAACAGTTTTCCATCGGTTGAACACCACTTCAATGGGGCCTAGAATGGAAGAGGGTTTTGTCCTTTGTAACTGCCCCATAGCTACAGTACAGCTACAATACTTGTGTTGGAGTTTGCACAGTCTTCACCTAGGCCTCTATTTTAGCATCCTGCTTGGGATACAGTGACTTTCTATATAGAAAATAGATACACATTCCACTCGCTGTCCTATTTTCAATATCTGCAGTATCCCCCAATTGTAAAATGTCCATCTGTGAAATATCGAGCAGAAGGCTGCAGGAGGAGCAAGTGAGTTGAGCTGTCAGTCATGTCATTCGAGGACTAGGAGCCCCACCCCCTCTGTGGATGCAGAGGCCTCCTCCAAAACGTGTTGTGATCCACTCATTCATCACCGTCACTGGAGAGGGACTGCATGTCTTTCACTCCTCTCCCTCCCTGTCTCTGTCTCTCTTTAACTATTTGTGTGGCATCTGCAGCACTATAAATGCCTGTGTTTCTCTCTCTCCCAGTATTAGGAGAATCAGTGGAATGGGTGTTGAAAAGGGCACATTTTAAGTGTCCTGCAACATGGGCAGAGTTTATTTGCATGGAAGTGTGTGGTGTTAAAATAGTGGCCATTCAGAAATGGAGCCACTGAGTCGTTCTGAGAAATAGAGAGCCCTTGTGGACAGACATTGGTCTCTTTGTTTTGCCAGGAATGTATGTTGTCCAATTTTAACACCACAGTATTCTACCCTAAAGCAACCAACTCCTGAGAACTGATTAACTATTCACCTGTTCAACTCTTTCTCCAGTAAACAGATAAAAACACAACCTTATCCCAGCGCTATCGCTACATGCTAACAAGATAATTAATGAGAGTATACAGCATCCTGGAGACACTGACACCATCCATCTTGGAGTGTCAGGAACTCAGACAGGAGTTAGTCTACGGCTGATTGATGGGCCGAGACCCCTGAGGGAAGGACCTAGCTGTGCTGCGGTTGACCACACAAGCCAAGATGTGTCTGTGTGGAGGGGAGAGGGGCGCTCAGCAGCTCCAGGCCCAGGCAAATAGCTTTCAAATGAAGCCAGGAGTCAGGGGGTCCTCATGCATCTTGACACTCCTCCTGATTGATAAGGTGTGATTTTAATAATGCTCCAAATGGCCATCCTTTGCAACCGCTCTTGAGCTTAATTATTCAAATGGCAGTGCACATGGAATCCCCAGGAGACACAACTGGATTGAAATCACTCAAAATGTAAATAGTGTGGTGATGGATGGTGGATAGTCTTGTCACTGCCAGTGTCGGCTAGCTTCCTGTGAATAGCCGCATTCTCCACAGCTTTAGGGTTGTTCCTGTTTTTTTTTGTTGACCTGGTAGGTAGCACAGTGATAAACTGTGGGGCCATTGTATCTGTTGCTTTGAAACACAAACATGGTTGACAGCTAGCATCAAGTCTCAAAATTGATTCGTTTTTATGGGGTGGGGGGGGGGGGGGGGGGGGGGGGGGGGCTTATACAAACGTGTTCACCAAGCCTTAGATATTACTAATATTTGATATGGAGATTACAATGTTTATTTTGTTAGAAGCTGGAGAGACACATATCGACAGAAACAAACACCCTCACACACTTACACACCCCATATGTATAGTCACTGCGTAATAGAGTATGTGCCTGTTTTGTACAAGGAGAACAAGTCACTGGGAAATAAATGGTAGGCTTTTATTCTACAGAGCACTTCTAAGCACATTTTTAAGTCCCCTCTCTGCCTGCTTGGGGTGTAAGTGGGAAAAAAGTGTGAGCTTATGTAATAAGTTATTGATTTCCCTCTTAAAGGAAGATTGAAGTGCAGAGCCACCGGTCTACAAAGCTCCCAGAGGAGAGAGCCTCACTAACAACAGAGAGAGCCCTCCCTGCCTCCCTCCCTCCCTCCCTCCCTCCCTCCCTCCCTCCCTCCCTCCCTCCCTCCCTCCCTCCCTCCCTCCCTCCTTCCCTCCCTGCCTCCCTCCTTCCCTGCCTCCCTCCCTCCCGCCCTCGCTCTCTGCCTTTCTCCCTGATGCACGGCTAGGTGCTAAGACCCTGGGCTGAGTCACTTCCCCCACATGCCACAGGGACACTAAACGGCAAGACGTTGTCATCTGACATAGTGTTTGCCTGTCCGATCGCATCCCTCCCAACAGTCGGTGGCCGAGCAATTACAAAAAAGACATCTGTGCCACAGTTTAGATAGCCAAAGAGAAGTAAAGGCCGCAATCTCAAGAGGTATGCAACCGGGGATCGATGGAAGTGTCTGAACCTGCTAGTGCAAGTGGAGATGAGGGCTGCTGAGGCATGGGGAGGGGGCTATTGTTGTGTGGGGAGAGGGTGCCAGAGAGGTGACTCTTCTGATGAACAAGCGTCAACTGCTGCGATCATCCATCTTCCGTCTTGGCAGTGTCCTGTCATCCAGGGCGCTCACGTTACTAAGCACAAAAGGCAGGCATCCATTGTCCAGCCCGGTCTTGTTTGCAGCCATGTGTAAATGAAGTTAATATTCACTGACCTAAAGCATAGCTAATGAGAGACCCCAGTGTCACCTTGGAAATAATGCCATCTGACACAAAATAGCAAAGGTCTTTCTTTTAGGGTCAACAATGTCTACCCACATATCTCCTCTTATTGTCCTCTGTTTGCATCAAAATAGAGAATGTTTACTAGGATTCTGTCTATTCATGAAATTCAACTTGGGTCTCTAATTTGGCCTGACAGTTCTGATTTAGTGACAGATCTATAGATGAATAATGTGTCAGTTAGTTAGCCTCCATTTCAAACTAACATGACTCAAAGTGTGCTTAATAGAGGACCATTATGTGTGGTTTTGCCCAATTTGATTAACAGGTATTCTGCTAAGGGGTTAAATAAATGTAATCTAATGGTGTCTTCTGGGCAAGTTGGTGTGTCCCCACAAGCGTTAAGTGGATTATACTTTACTGTCCTCTGATTTATATTTATATATACATGAGTTAGTTCCAGCAGCTTATCAAGCGAGGTGTAAGAAAAACCTATTACCAATGACCAGGCAGCGAGCAGCAATGTTTTGTCTGTTTCAGGGAGACTTATATCGGAAATATCTAGATATAATATCTGCAAGAATGACAAACAGTAGGAACAAACATTAAAGATAATAGAGGTTTATTTTGATTTGATGATATAGCCTTAACCCAATATGCATTATGTTAGAGTAAAGCAGGGGTAGGCAACTAGATTCAGCCGCGGGCCGATTTTGGTCGGAGCGGATGGTCGGGGGAGCCGGAAAATAATTATTATAATTTGTACACTGCAAATTGACTAAGATTGACCCAAAAATTGATTTTATTTGAAAATAACTATCATTTTATGCCTTTATTACATTGAGACTCGATCACGTCCCTTTTTTATATTTGTGGGAATACTTAAGAACAAATGTCCTTAATTATAATAATTGTTTGCTGAATTCCTGGTGATTTTACAGTCTTTTTTGACCCAAAACTAAAATCCCAAAATATTTTTGTATACTGTATGTGTTTTTAATAAAAACTGGGGGGACCCAAATAAATCACTGTTGCCGACCCCTGGATGTGAATCAATGCATATGGGCGTATTCTATTTTTGCATATGACTTTGAAACAAATATTTACCATACCTAAAGAAGATGGAAATGACTGAGCCCTGTGCCACTGTTTTGTTTGGAAAATGAGGCATTTGTATTTCATTTGACATGTTAAAGTTCCCGCAGAATGTCAAGCCTGGCAGCATTGTGCAGCTAGGAGTCTTTGTATCCAGGGAAACTTATTTATTTTTATTCTTTTATTTCTCATTCGGAAGTGGTAGTGTATATTTAAAAGGGAGAGACATTGTATCCAACATTAAAATGACTACCCTGTTTATTATAGCTCTCTACATTTACAATTTAAACCATTCTGTGCTCTTTCCAGTTCTCTGAGGAAGAAACTATGCTTCAATCTACTAATGAGAAGCAGAAGAAACTGCCTTTTTCTCATAACAAGGGATTAAAAAGAGCAAAGGCACTGCACAGAGAAATACAAGCTACTTTGTGAGGCAGGCAATGAGTGGGTTTCTGTGCTAGGTTATTACATTTTAGTTATTTAGCAGACGCTCTTATTACCAAATCAAAAATCTAAGCAAATTCATTGTATAAAAATGAATAAAACAGCTAATGTTCTCTTGACTCAAGCCGTCTGTTTTTCCCCACTCCAAATGATTTGATCTGCTCATGTAAGCAAAGCAGCACAGTGGTACCGCTTATTCAGATGCAAAAAAGCATGTTTGTTCTAATTATTGTGATTATTATAATCCATAAACTCGTGATTAGCATTTGTTTGAACTGGAGCAGCCACGGACAGGAGTTGGGTTTAGATTTGGTGTGTAGTTGGTTGTCAGGACAGGAGCTGGGTTTAGATTTGGTGTGTAGTTGGTTGTCAAATCTGGATTGATGGTTCTTTTTGCCTCCTTAAGTTGACCTGGCTGTCTCTCTGTGGAGCAGCGTGCACATCAGCACGGCCATCTGAGGCCAAACGGACGCCTTTGTGTGTAACTGGAGGCCACGGGGGCTGGACCGCGGTAGGGAGACTAGTGGCAGTCGTTTCTGTCACAGCAGTGGGTCCATGGGGATTGGAGTGGGGTGGGGTAGGAGGGAGAGGGGGGAGTGGGGAGGGGGGGTGGGGGCATTGGCACAATTTGGATATAATACTTAGTTGCTGACTGGGGCCATTTTAAGCGCTGATTCGTTGTGGCTTCAGGGGGCTTTGGGTCGGGGTAGACCTTTGTGCCCTCTGCTTTTATCCCAGAGCAACACAGTCTCTTCTCTTCCGTTTAGAAGTCTTTCAGCAGTAAGAGGTCCTCTTACACCTAGCCACATCCTCCATTAAAAGGTAGCCAGCCGCCCGGGCTAGCTGTCCTTAAGACTTTTTTCTCCCGTCGCCATGCATGTTAAATGAACTAAATAAAAGACGATTAGGCAGGGACATTTTCCATGTCACTGGAAAGTCATTTGGAAAGCCCTTACCCTGCATGATGAATTAAAGAAGTGAAGACCTCTCTCTCTCTCTCTCTGGAAGAGTGTGTACTTTTGTACAGACAGTTTCTGGGTTCAGTTTCTGCTCAGGCGGAACCAGAGCTATAAATTCTGTAATGATTTAATGTGAAAACGTCCTTCATTTTCCACCTGCAGACCCCCCATGCAGTAAATCAGTATGATAGCTAAGTGAGGAAACAGGTGCTGGACTTTATTGTTGCTTATTTGAATTTCTGACAACATGCAGTAGCACAGGCTGTAATGCAGTAGGAACAGATTTTAAAAGTTTGTGAACTGGTTGTGAACTGGTTTAGAATATTGTTATGAAATGTTTTTTTCACACTTATCATGTGACCTTCGTTATTAATGTGACACTAACCAAAACTCCTGTACATATTGATTATTGAATCGGATGTATTGGCATCATTTTCATCATACCCATTTACATTTACATTTA